AGGGAAAGTCACACATTTTTGACACAAGCGCTGAGAACCAGAAGTTCAGCCCCCTAAACATAGTAGGCACTGAGTATGTGCTTACTGAAAGGAGCTGTTACTTTCTGTACTTTACCAGAGAAGGAATGAGCAGCAGCTTGCTTCAAAAAATATATCTCCCACTGCCTGTTACAGTTCATCATTTGAGATTTATTTGGCTTAAAAAATTTTAAAAAGTCACTCCCTGTGAAGGCTTAAAATACTCAGTCATTAATCATAGGCACCTTGTTGTGAACTTGCTCCATCAAGATTTTTATCCCTGAGAGTGGGAATGTGAGTTTCAAGCAGGGAGGAAGGGTAAAATTTGAGCAAGGTACTGGCCCAGGTGAGGGCATGTGTGGTCACAGAGCAGTTCCAGAGAAAAGGGCTGAGGTAAGTGTAGAATAGATGGGCACCGCTGGACCTACCTAAGCTACTGTGAACCTTCTCCAGCAGGGCTGAGTAAGGGCAAGCTCAAGAGGCTGGGCATGATGCGGGCAGAGCTGTTGCTTGTTGCCAGGCATCACTCTCCCCTTTTTAGCAAGGCACGGTTACTGAGCCAGGGATACATTATTCAGCCTCCCTTGAAGGCAGGTGTGACCACGTGACTAAACTGTGCCCAGTGGGATGCAGGTAGAAGTGATGTGTGAAATTTCAGGGTCATGGTCTTAAAAAAGCAACTTTCGCTTTCTTCCTCCCATGTGCTGGGATGCAGACATGGTGCTGGTGATTGAGCATTGACCACGGACTGATGGACGCGGCAAGACTCCGGGGGATGGTGCAGCAACAGGCAGAAGGCATTTGAGTCCCTGGATGACCCCATGCCTCAGGCCACCTCCTCCTGGCTACCTGCCTTTGCTTGAGAGGAAAATAGGCTTCCATGTTGTGGGCCGTGGTTTAGGGTTTGCTGCATCAGCTTAGCCTACCCCCTAATTAAATCAGGGACACTTGCCACACTTAGTTTTCACTGGCTCCTGAAGTAATAATGTTTCTGCTATGGTAGGCTGCTTTAGAGGATAAAATGGGAAATTTGGGAAAACAAACACGAATGAATAGTTTAAAGGTTTTTCACACATCTGCCAAATGGCCATCAATAGAAAGATGAGAAGAAGAAAGAAAACAAAAGATGAGTTCCCTATGTCCAAACCTAGATTTCAAGAGGAATCTTCATCCAAAGTGTTTACTCTTATCTACGTCTCTAGGCCAGGCTTAACTGCCTTCAGTGAGGGGTAAACAACCTCCTCTCATCTTCGAGGGCTTACTAGAAAGTACTTCCTCATATTAAGGTGAAACTGGGTAACTTCCACCCCCTTAAGGTCTCCTAGAAATCGAATCTTTTCCACACGAAAGCCCTTCACGTATCTGTAGAGGTACCATCTATCATCCTCTACTAAAAGCTCCCATTTATCCCATGAGAAATGCTTGGCTAAAAGCCGTGTAACTAAGCCTGCCACAATTGTTGCGTAGTCGTCTACTGACACCAGCAAAGGAGGAAACTGATACTAGTTCCCAGACTCAGGGCCCGGGCAGCCGTCGCGAAAGCCCGCGCCCTCCAGATAAGCCGAAGCTCCACCGACTGCGCTCGGGTCCAAGCCCAATCCGGGGGCGGGGCGGAGCTTACCTGCGGCGGGGCTGGGGGCGCCAATGCTCCGGGGCCTGGGAGAGGTGCCGCCCCTTCACCTAGTGGGAACCGGGAGGGCCGACATGAGGGCGGGGCCGAGGATCCAGCCCCACCCGCAGCTCTGCCGGAAACCCTGGGGAGGAGGAGCGGGCCGCGCTGCACGCGGCTGTTCTGGAGGCGGGTTCTTCTGGCTCCCCCTCCGCGCCCGGAGCGCAGTGTCTGCTGCTCCAGCTCGCACGCCCGGCCCGCCCCGCTCTCCCCCAGCCCTCCTCCCTCTCCCCCAGCCCGCCTCCCTCTGCCCCCGACCTGTCCCGCTCTCCCCGACCTGCCCGCCTGCTCACCAGCAGCGTCCACCCCCCGAGGGCCCCGAGGGCAGGCGCTGTAGACGTTGTTTTGGGTGCGTGGCCGCTGCGACACGCGTGGCCGCTGCGACACGCGTGGCCGCTGTGACAGGGGCCGCTGTGAGGCCTCCAGTGCGCGCATCCTCACGGCCAGTCGGCGGACCCGTCTGGAGAGAGCTTCTCGGTAAAGCCACAGGGAAGGAGAGAGGAAGAGGTCGTCAGAGGCCCGTGGGCAGCCCCTCCCAGTCTTAGAAAACTAAAGGCTGTGTGTTTCTCTGGTGTTTGGCAATGTCTGATATGTGGGTGCTTACTGAAGACAAAAGAGCCCAGTCCGCACTCCTCCCCGCCCCCATTTCCAGACCATTGAGCCCCGTGCCACGTTCCCCACACCCCAGGCTGCTCATCTAAAGCTCCTGAGTGTCCCCGGGAGGTCAGAGGGATCTGAATGTGCTGGAATTTGGGGGAAGCTCAGCTCTCCGAAACGGAGCCTGACCCCTCACCTTTCCTCCTTTGAATGACCCTCTTCGCCACCAGCCCCAGAAGTGCCAGCAGGATGAGACCCAGGATGGTGGGGGTCAGGATGTAGAAGCCTTGATCTTCCATCCCAGACACGGGGCCTGGGCCGTGGTTGAGTGCTCTGAGGAGGGAAGGAGGGGGAGAGAGAAGGGAGAGGTCAGGAAGGGAGGGGGTTAAGTCAGCACGCAAGTGGCCAACTTTTTTGGCGGTAGCTCACAAGTTTGTCCCTTTGTTAACAGAATTCTCGCCCGGGAAGGTGCAGGCCTCTTACCTCTGCCTGTGAAGCCTGGTTTGGTGGTTGTAGCTGGCCGTCTGGAGCCTGAGCAGTTCCTCCTGTGCTGAGGTTTTTGAGGCTGTGGCAGATGGCAGGAGGGTGGTGGGCTGGGCAGTTGGTACTGAAGATGCTCTGTAAACTCGAGGGCGGTGGGTGATTGAGGTGGTGGGGGAGGCATGGTGTGCTGGAGGGGCCTCAGTCCTTTGAGCCGGTGTGGTTACTACAGAAGACAGCAGGAAGAAGTGACCTTCCACACACACACTCTAGTCTCCAGCAGCCTTGGGCCAACCATTTCTTTCCGGAGCACATGCTTCCCTTTTACCTAGACTACCTTTGTTCTCCCAGTCCTTGTCACCTGAAATGCCTCCTTAGCATGCCATCTGCATCTAGTACGTTCTGTCTATATTTGCTTCAAACTCCATTTCCTACAGGAAGTCTTCCCTGACTTCCCAGGCAGAAGAGCTTGTGCTCCTCTAAGCATGGACAAAACCTTGTTTGTAGTTCAATTCCCACTCTGCCTTGTGTTGTATCTATGTGCTTGTCTATTCTCCCCCATCCCACACCTGTCGGTCACAACCTTGAGTATACAATGAGCTCAGTTACACAATCCCTCTCTCAATGGCCAGCAGTCTTTTACTGTAACAATATTCAACTAATGTTTCTACCTCACAGGGCAGATGTGAGGATGTGATATAACTATCGCATGTCAAAATGCATTTAAGACAGGAAAATGGTATAGAAATGTAAAAGTATCGTTAGTATAATCATGATTGATCTTTTTATTGTAAAATAGAGCTGTTAAATCAGTATGCCAGCACATGGAAGACAGCCCTATGGGGAGCAGGAAGCAGGAGGACCTCTGGCTGGGAAACGTCTGCCCAGTCTTGGTTTCCCGCAGTCATTCATAAAAGAGCTAGATTTTGTGAATGGAGCACAAACTTCATTACATGTGGTGCCACCTGGTGGTAATGGGTCATTTCTGCAACTAGTGCCAAGTGTAGGGGCTGAAGGATGGGCTTGAAAGACTTGGAATGCAGATCTCAGGGAGGTACACCCTCCTAAAGCAGGGAAATACACATCTGAGACGCAGCTCTGCTCTGCCAACCATCCTCCGAGCCGAACATATACCCCCTCCTCCATTTTCACGATGCCATAGAATCTCCCCCACCTACCTTAACCTACCTTTGGGGAACTGACCTTTGGATATGAGTTCCAAAGAACTGGCATGTTCAGGCATCTGGAACCAAAGAGGCGTACGCATTTGGAGAAATCTGTTAAACCATGCTGGAGGCTCAGGCATTGCCTCTTCTTCCCAGAAAGGCCCGTAATCTACCGGAGGCAAGAGGAGTCCATTGGTGGTCTCTAGGACGAGACTGAGGCCTGGGGAAGGGACTGCTGCTATGAGCTGAGGCTGACTCAGCTAGGGCAGATGGCAGTGAGGGGATGAGGGCAGGGAGAAGAAAAGTAACCAGGCTGGGGGCTTCCCTGACAGAAATCCTCTTTCACCCTAACCCCGTCGGCATTC